ACTCATTAAAAATCATGTAGCTAGCCAATCGGAGTAACATGAAAGATACGGAACCAATAATTGAAATGTTGTTACGGTACGCTGTTTCTTTTTCTTAACTTAGATGGTCATTCCTTAATTAAATAGCCCACCAACGGCCGAGCGGTAAAGACGCTGAACACTGGTAGTTCAGGTCTCGAGGTTTTCGAATCCCGCGAACAGGCTGGCCGCATGGGCGTTTCGTGGTTTTCCCCATGTGTAACGTGTATACGAAGCCAGTTTCCCTTTAGAAAGTCCTCCACGAAGGCATCCCTCCCTTTAGGCAGATAGTCCCTTGTGTGCTTTGCCATAATTAATAATCCAATTCCAATCCAATGCCTTAATTAAATATAATTGATTTGTAAATTCTACTAGAACTGACGGTAAGAATTGAAGTGAAAATAAGTAATATGGTGTGCAATCTTGATTAATATAAAATTAAAAATATTTGCATAGAAAAATGTTTGCATTCAGACAAAGTTTTTTTTTGAAATATTTGCAATTACTTTATAAGAAGGATTTATTAATAACCGTAATAATTTACTTATTTATTACTGATGATTAGGATTCAGTTTTCTTGACAATTACATTCTAAATTAGAATTTTTAAAGATATAATGAAAATACGCTACGTACAAAAATACATTTTAGGAAAAAAAATGTTTGATTTTTTATGTTTTAAAAAAAAACTTTCTTAAATTCATTTAGTAAACATCGTATCCTCGTTGTTTATTGAATCCAGAATGTTGGTGTCCGTTTTATATAATTATTCTTACTTGTCCACAGAATCTGCTGACTTATCCAGCCATTAAGTAGCTGCAGATCATTTCTTCTACATAACCATTGAACTTCCATTAATTCAGTCTCTAGAGGGTTTGTATGTTTATATCCTGTATGTTTATATCCTAATCTTTTATAAAAAATGATTATTATAAATATTATGTTTCTATAAAAATATATTGTGCTTTAAAATATGGATAATAGTATCAGCCGCTCTTTCAGCCAGCCACTTCAAAAGCAACAGTTTGTTTAGAAATAAATTATGCAGTTAATGTCATAAAATTCAAATAAATATCAAACGAAAATTCTCAGTTTTTAGACAATTCGATTTAAACGAAGTAAAGTAGCAGACGATAAAACGCCGAAGGTAAAAATTTACTCTTACAAAAAACTTACTCTTAAATTTTTTTAAAAAAAGAAAGATACGAGAGAAATTTAAAAAAAATAGTTAAAAATTTGAATAATATCATCTACGAGTATAATTTAAAAAATAGCCTTTCATATAGTTTAATAAATATTTATTACGCGGCGTCATTGAGGGAAAAAATGTCATATATTAATTCTCCGTAAAATTTTACTTGAAGTTTAAGGTTAAAAATAGCTGTGGCAATTCAGTGTAACAAAAATCCATAGACCACATTTGGCGTTATTATCGCTCAAAAAAAAGGTGCCAAATTTCAAAACGCGAAATAATGTAAATTCGTGTATATCTTAGAAAATTTTGAATAAAAAAGTCTAATTTTTTTCAGATGCTTAAAAATACACCTACTTTAAGATGATGGTAAAATTTTTATAGGTTATAATTCAAAATTTTTTTCGAAAAATCTATAAAAAATTATTTAAAAATAGAATTTAAAAAATAAACGCAAAAAATGGGTAAATTTTATTTGGAATGAACCAAAATTTTCGAAATGTGAGAGAAAAAAAATCAAAAAAGAAGTTTAATAAAAAAAGAGATATTAATAAATATTTGCCAAATTCAATTAACATTGAGGAGCTAAAATTTTGAGAGCTATATATTTAAAAACTATTCGTACGATTTTTACAAAACTTGGTATTCTGGCATAATTTGAGTCGTAGAATCGAAATATGTAAAAAACATTGGGTATGTTATTTCAGAAAAAGTCCGATTTTGTGTCAAAATACCTATGTTAGAATAGTACTATATATAAATCTAATATATATCCTAAGTCGCGCTTTCGAGACATGAAAAACGTAGTTTGAATTTTGTCAATCGGCCCAGTAGAACGGGAGATATAGCACTGTCCCTTTTTTTTTTTTTTTTTTTTTTTTTTTGAGCAGTGTACGTGGAACTGTACGTACGATTTTACTGATATTCGAAAGGATTTTATGAAAAATGAAGATTATAATCTATATACAGTTTTTAACGATTTTAATTCTTCAAGAAGATTGGTATGGAAGATAATGGAGAAAATAAACAACAATCAGGCAGCTGTGGGATTTATATGTAACTTTTGTGTGCATGTGTGGTTAAATGTTCTTTTCGTTTTCATTGGTTATTATCACTAACCTGATTATATTAACTTTTATATTTTTCTTCGTTGTGTTGTTTACTCAGCAATTAAGAAACCACTTTAAAACCAAATATTATTATTGCTGAATGTATTTTAATTTCTTCGTTTTGTTAGTTTCATTAATTTTTTAGTTACTCGGGCTCAGAGCCTGGTTTCCGGAGGCAAGACCATATGTTTTACCTTTATTTAGTTTAGTTGTGTTTTTTCAAGGGGTACGGTCGGGTCACTAGTCGCCCTTGTTTGTCATTGGAGCGGGCGTAGTCCTGAAGGCGTTGTCCTATGATCATGATCATAGAACGACTCCATTACTATGAAATTCTACAAACGTTCTATAAAATTCTACTCTAACATAAAACTACTATCAGCCTATTAGCATAAGCGAAACGACGTTCCAGTAAAAAGGAGCTAAAATGACGCACGCTTAGATCAAATAATGTAAACATAGAAGGGATACGACCACACTGGATGACGTATGTTCTTCACGCGACTACCGCAGGATGGAAATAAGAGAAAGAAAACATCTCATGTTTATGTATACCCGACACATGACTACATACGCAGCTCGTCTGACAGCAGGACTGACCTAGACACGTCACTGCTTAAAGAATCTGTTTCTCAAGTAGTTTTAAATGGGATGTAGTATGGAAAAATTCAAATTAAAAGTATAACTTATAAAGAAAGCTCAGAACACAATCGGCTACATACTTTTTTCTGAACATTGAGTTAAATTTACATGCGAGAAATCAGAAACTTGGTTGATTTAATTAAGACAACGTATAGTAAACCTTAATTACAGAGCAATAATAGTTTTAAAGCATCTAAAGTTCAAAACATTGGATTACGTTGATTTAAATATGTCAAAGTACATCAGGGCTATATGCCTAAACAGAAGGATGCCTTATGCAGGGATTTTTTAAAAAACCGAGAGCTGCACAGTTGCGGAATTAGTTGATGTAACCCAAGCATCAGGTATTACCTAATAACTGTTTATTTACCTGAAATACATCATATGTATACCTGTGCCTTCATCATGCTTAGTGACAATACTGTGTATGTTTAGTTAAAAAAAAAAAAAAAAAAAAACTGTACGCACTAATATGTACTTAGGAAAACCCAAAAGACTCCGTAGTGAGAAATGTAGCGCTAGAAACATCTTTTATTTGCATAAATTCTGCAAATGCTCATAAAAATTATGAATATTAACAATTAGACATTATTAAACATAATTTAAACAAAATTATTTAAGTCAGTAAGAGCAAAGCATGCGAGGGTTATTATTATTATAAGGGCATATTATTATTATAAGCCCTGATCCTCCTAGCCGGCACAAGCCGGCCGTATGATCAAAAAATGGGACTGGCCAGACAAAAAAAAAAAAAAAATATATATATATATATATATATATACATATAAGGGAAAAAAAAACATATAAAGTCCAAATCTGAGTCTCAATGCTGAGTCTCAGCATGCGAGGGTTATCTGTGTAAAGGAAGTAACGTCATCGTAGGTGATTTTCTAAGGGAAACTGGCTTGTCTTCACACACATTTCATAATGAAGAAAACCTCGGATAAGCGCACGCAGCCGCTCGAACTACCAACGTTCAGAAAGTCTTACTCATTCGGCCACCGGTGGACTTCTACGGATTATGTTCACTGTTTTAAAATCTTTCAATTTGAAAGTGACAGTTATAGTTTTACATGTATGCTTTGTCGATTGCCAGCACTCCGAGAACTGACTGTTTATACCAGACTAGTTAAGTCTTGAGTCACTTAGATCAATAATTGTCAGATGGCGTGAATGGCAATGCCCTGGTACCACAATGAAATAACAGCGTCAAAATTTGAAAAACTCTATTATAAAAGTTTTTAACATCATTAACATTATTGACAATTATTGTTTTAAAGATATGCTTTGTCGAATGCCAGCACTCCGAGAACTGACTGTTTATACCAGACTAGTTAAGTTGAAAGTTTTGAGTCACATAGAACAATAATTATCAGATGGCGTGAGTGGCAAATGTCCTGGTAGCACAATAAAACAGCAGCCTCAAAATTTGAAAAACTGTTATAAAAATTTCTGACATCATTAACATTATTGATAACTTTAAAAATTAATTGTTTCCACTTTTGAAATGCTCCCGCAAAATCTATAATTTTATTCATGGGTCCGTAGGACTCGATCATCTCGCCAGTGTTCGAGTGAATAAGACTGCTAAAAACTGGTAGTTCAGCCTATGTTTAAGTCCCAGGGAACGTCCAGGGTCTTCAGGTAAATGGCCTCGCGTGCTTTGAAATAATCATAAATTATTCCAATCCATCGAAACTCCACCCTGCTGGTGGCGCGGCATTTTTAATTATACCAGTTAAAATTTCAAGAAACGTGTAACAAGATTAAAAAATTGAATACACCACAAGTTGTATTTTTTAAAATACTACAGAGTTAATTTTTAAAATGAATAGCAGTGCAAAAAATTATTAACATTATTATTAAATTATATATCTTAAAAAGTTAGATAGTTTGTTTAGATGCAGAATAATAAAATGTAATTTAAGGTTTGCAAGCTTTCAGAAGATATGTCAAAATTTCCAAGTATATGGAGTACTGTGTACCGTACAGTAAATTCGGCTGATAGCTTATGTATACTATTTAAGCACAAACCTTTCTTACCTTTCTCAATTTGATGCTTCCAATATCTTTTCCTAGTCTCCGATGAGAAGCAGAAATGTTTGAAATTCTTCGCCAGATTTTTGTTCCACCAACTCCTTTTGTTTGCTGCAAATAAGAGAATAATAAATTAAAATTCCAAATAACTTTACTTGTGTCATCATAGGCTAACCGATGTAATTATATTCATCTCCCATGCATTCGAACTTTATTATTACGTAATGTAGGCAAAGCATACCCCGGTTATCTAAGCACTATGCCATTTTCTACAGAGATAATTTCATGAGATGGAATAGAATGATATATACTTCCTTTTCCCTACCCATCATTTTCTCAATAAAACTTCCAGATCGAAAATTTCTAAGTGAAACCCATCCCGTTAAGTCACAAACGTTCGTTTTTGCCTAGGCTTCGAGGTATAGGAATCGGTTAACTATCGTACTGTCAGGAGGCAGCCTTAGGGATAATTAAGAGTGTATTTCTATTGCAAGGCATGGGCGACAAATATGCTTTTAAGCAGCTTTCGATTGCTATCTTACTGCTTTATTTCTGTCACCGTCAAGTTCCGGAAGTAATTTGAACACTGCATTAAAATATGGCAAAGCCTATCTGGGATAGATGCTAGCGTAGATCTTTTTAAAGAAAAGACTCGTATTTAAGTTACACGGGGTAAAGGTACGAAAACAGACCATGCAGCCGCCCGTTCGTATCGGTTCAGACCTGGGTCGAACTATCAGTATTCGCAGTCTTAACCACTCGCCACTGGTTGCGCGCCAAGTTACGGGATCAACAAGTTTCTGTACAATTACTGATGCCATTTCAGATAAAAGCATAAGCACAAAATGATACTAACAAAAGAATGCGATTATCTTAGCCACCGAAGAAAGAAAGAAACGTTAGTTGTACGTTTATTTTATATCTTTGCAAGAGTTCTTCAACAATAACCATTAGAAAATCCTCTGAAATCTGAAATAAACGTTTTTCAGTCTAAAAGGATGGTTTAACAGTAGGGAATGATTAATAGCGAATTAACAGCAATGATTATAACTACTATAAATCTCATTAAAAAGTTCATTTAAATGCATCTCAAACTTTTCAGCATTCTTTAAAATAGATAAATTCTTTGATAGAGGATTGTAGGAATATTTCAGAAGAGTAAATTCATAATGATTAAATAAACTGCTTTATGAAGAGGAAAAAATAATTAAATTAGCCATCTAGCTGTGAATTTCGATGAAATATCTACCTAGCATGCGTTACAAAATAATTCACATAACTCACATTCTTCAAAATAAAGGTGCATTAAATAGTGATACAGAGGAAATATGAACTCAACAATAATCTAATAATGCATAAAAGTTAAGGAAATTATTCCAAGATAAGAATAATAAAATAAACACCATAATTAATGACATTAATTTTGAATATGGGAACAGAATGCAACTGGCAGGTAAAATCAAATACCTTTCCCTAGGTAGAAATATTTAACTCACGAAGCCGAAGAGTACTTCCTCATTCAAAGAGGGTTGTGAATGAACGAATTACATAGAGGACTAAAATATAAGGCCGATGACAAAAGATGCAGAATAAAGCTTGGCGTCTTATCACTCACTTGGCGATTTTGAACGTATCCAAATACCAACATCGTCAAACTAAATACATTTCGTGGCAGTTAAAATGCAAAAGAACAATGAAATTTTGAGGAAAATTAAATCAGAGCTTTCAATAGCCATAAATTTTAAATTTATTTAACAAATACAAATTGATGACTTTAGACGTTTTATGCGTATTGAAAAATTTAAAAAAAATTAAAACTTAAAATTTCATAGAAATTTTCGGAATGTTGCCTCATACTTTAATTAAGATTTTCTTATGAAACTGGTCATTCATATATATATCAGAATTATATACATGCTTTACCTCTATTGCTTTTATTTCGCAAGCATAATATGGCTATGAATATAAATAACTTTAATAAGCTTACATGATTACATTCTTTATGATAACCAAAGAAAAATTATTGTTCGATTTTTTGAAGCATTAAAAAAAAGCAAATTTTTATGTTCTGAGCGTGAGCAGTCAGTTGAGATTTTGAAATGTCTGTTGTGTTTCATTCTTGACAGTAAAATGTTTCGAAATTCTCACAAACAGAACTTACAAAACTCGTACAAAAATAAACGGAAATTAATGTCCGATTTTCATAACAGTTTAAATCAAAAGTATAACATATAATAAGGCTAGCATAGAAAATCGCTAAGTATCACAATTACGTGAGCAATTTTTTTTTATGAAAAATTTAAAAGTGTTGTTTCAAGGCAACGAGGTAATTTACACCACATTCGCTAATTCTGTGTATTAGTTACCAAACTAGGTACTAAGTGAATTATTCTGTTGTTTAAAAGTAGCGTTATCTTTTTTTTTTTTTTTTTTTTTTTTTTTAATTAGTGGCCGAATGGTTAAGGCCGGTGAATGTTAACCAGTTTTCTTCAGAAGTCCTCCATGAAGGCATCGCTTTCCTCTTAAGCAGACAACCGGCTGCAGATCAACTCTTTTGATTCCTTTTCGATAGATTTTTTTTTAATCTGTTGAAATTAACACTTTTGGGCCATAAATAACCTAATCTTAAACTGTTACGCGTACCGTTTGAAGATACGCCGTTACTCCGGCGCTTAGTAAAAAATGTCGCTAAGCTGGGAACACTACAACTGATTAATGTATTAGAACTAGAACACTAGGGCTATCTGACTATGGAAAGAAAGCCTTCGTGGAGGACTTTCTAAGGAAAACCGGTTCGCATTCACAAATTACACGGAGAAAAGCATGAAGACCAACAAATGCAGCCAGCTCGCTCGCCTACGTTCAAACTACCAGTATTCAGCGATCTGAACTATTCGGCCACTGACGATCAAGTAATTAGTAGCTACCGATGAAGCTTCATTTTTTTTTTTTCCTGTCCTCGCATTTCCTTCAACAAGAATTACTCCGACTAATGGCTGATTAGTTAGACTACTAAACATAGATAATTGGATTTCAGTTCACATTCTAGTGAACGGACTGGCTGCATGGGAGCTTTCGTGGTCTTCCTTAGAAGGTCCTCGACGAAGCAGCCTTTCCTTAGAAGGTCCTCGATGAAGCAGCCTTTCCTTAGAAGGTCCTCGATGAAGCAGCCTTTCCTTAAAGGTCCTTGATGAAGCAGCCTTTCTCTTACGGTGATACCTCAGTATTCTTTGCCATAACCCAAATAATCAAATCAACAATGACTGCAAAGCTGTTTAAGGTTTTTCATATTTTCTTAACATGGAACACAAGAATATCGAGCTAATTAATATTCAAATTTTGTATGGAATTAGATTTTTTCGCTTGCGAGCATCTTCGTTACAAATGTGCCATCTGTGGAGCAATTTATTCGGTTATGGCAAAACACTCGGTGACTATCTGCTTAAAAGGAGGGATATCTTCATGGAGGATTTTTTTTTTTTTTTTAAGATAAATTAGTTCGTATAATCTCCTAATGTGAGAAGTTGCACCCTTGAACGTATCTCTTCCCATAATTTTCCAAGCTTTACTTTTAAGGTTTTCATGTCTTCCGAGTTAATTGAAGAAATTTATCTCAGGTGTTAACTGAAGAAATTTATCTCAGGTGTTAATTGAAGAAATTTATCTTTTCGTTTTTGTAAAATAATAAACCTCCATTGACAACACGTATTTGCTCAATTTCGAAACTTCATCAGTTGGCGACGAACGAGTCCGCGTGGGAGAGAAGATACAGCAACCCGTGACGTCGAAAGCCATATTGGGATCTCCGCGTAAAGTCAGGGGATTCTCCTGATGTGCTAAATGAGCAGTTCTAATGGAATGTTCTCGTTACGTAGCAGATGAGCTTCTTCAGAGGTAGCCGAACTTTTTCGCTTAACTTTTACTATTATTGCTAAGGTTTGCTCGAGAAATTCATTCATGGATTTCGGAATGACGTCTCACATGCTCCCGTGGCAACAAAATGGCCAGTCGTTAAAACGTCTTACCACAGCAACACTAAATGCGTTTCAAACATTTACTAAATCCGGGAAGCTCTTGTGCTAAAAAAAAAGGTAGAAACACTAAATGCATTTCAAATTTTTACAAAATCCAGAAAGTTCTGATGCTGAAAAGTCAATATGACAACTAGCATTCCCTGCTGGTTGCCTCCTTTTTTCAAAAGTTCGGATAGTGAAAATATGACTAACATTTCTGTTAAATAAATTGCAATAAAACATTATTATGTAAGTAATTTCCTTTTAGTTTTAGCTGATTAAATTAAGTCAAAGCACGAGAAAGTTATTTGTCTAGAACTTCGTGTAATGCCTTCGCGGAGAACTTTTCAAGGGAAACTAGCTGGTATTTACATTCTAGTGAACGGACTGGCTGCATGGAGTGGCTGCATGGACTGGCTGCAAGGGGGAAAACCCACGAAAAAACCATTCATCCATTCATTCGTTGGGACTATAACAAGTAGGAAAATTAAGTTTAGGTAGGTTATCTGAATATGGCAAACCAGATGATGGTCACCTGCTTAAGGGGAGGGATGTTTTCGTTTTCTAGCCTGGATTCACTTTACACGTGAGAAAAACTAACCATATAACAATCCATTTGCCTAGGATAAAGCCCAGGTCCCGGCATTCAGCGGTTTTAACCGCTCGACCGCTAGTTCAGCAACAACTAGCAAGAATTACCAGTGTTTCAGCGACTTTACCCAATCCGTAACCTATCAGCTAAAGCACTTTTAACTCAATTTTCCCTTATTTTACATTCTAAAAGTTAACGTATTTTATGTGTTGTCTCATCATTAGTTGAACCAATTCCTTAGCGAACGCCGAGATTTACTTCTTGTCACACATTTCAAATCAAGAGCAAACGAAGTCCCTTAAGTGACCGAATGTCTAAAGCCACTAAATAATTGTAGTGCATCACAGATTCGGTTCCCTGAGGTTGAACGGGCTGGCTAATTGGGACTTGAGTGACTTTTTCCTTGAAAAGCAACTACAGACCACTTTCTCTTTAAAAGTTGGCTCACCAGCGACCAAGCGGTAAAGTCGCTGAACACTGGTAGTTCGGTACGAGGTTCGAATCCC